CGGTGGTGCAGTGGGTACCACAATTGCCTCACAGCAAGAAGGTCACTGGTTTGAGTCCGGGCTGGGCCAGTTGGCATTTCTGTGGAGAGTTTGCATGTACAGCATACCAAATTCACCTATATTGCATATCTTTGGACTGTGCGGGAAAACGGAGCACCCGGAGGAAACCCATGTGAACACCAGGACAACATGCAAACCCCACAGAAACGCCAACTGACCCAGCCGGGGCTCAAACCAGCGACCTTCTTGTATGCTGTGAGGTGATTGTGCTATCCACTGTGTCACCATGACACCCCTGCAAAAAAAGACATACTGAATAAAACAGCTGCTTTCCAACATTCTTCAAAATATCTTCTTTTGTGTTAAATAGAAAACAAACACTTAAATACACTGTAAATAATGTTTGGTTCCACACGATCAATTTGTGTTGGGACAACATGAAGAAATTAAGTTATGTTTTTACAAAATTAAGCAAATTGAACATAAAACAATTAAGTTTCATGAAAAACTTAAAACCCTTAAGAATTGTGTTTTCAACTTATTTTAAAGAAGAAGTTTAAACAAGTAGCAAATGGTAATTTCAATGTAGGTCTGGAACAAAAAAATAGAATGAATAAATGAGAGGATTTTCATTTTTGGGTGAACTATCCCTTTAATAAAACCACGTTTTTCTCATATATTTTACTTGCTTTGGCTAATGTGTTCTCAGTCTCACAGCGAAAGGGCAGAGCAGGGCTCATTATACCTTCTCTGTGTCAGGACTGATTAACAAAAGCACACTGGATGAGCTCAGTCATTTTCTTCTGCGACTTTCAGAATCAAGTATTGCAGCACAGCACCTCTTGTGTAAAATATCCGTTGCTAGTTTATACATGCACATTCCAACTCTGAATCACAGTCACACTCCACATGTGACCTGACGCTTCCTGTCCGTGTTCTGCTTTCTGTCTCGCTGTTTTTTTTGGAAATTCCCCCTCCGCACTCATCCGTTGTGAAATTTGACAATTTATATGCATGAAAATGTTTACATCCTTAATGCTTCATAGTGTGAAATGACTGAATAATGTTTCGATAAATCATTAAAAAGATAAAAATCAAGGTTTTTCGATAACATTAAAATACGTTTAATAAGTGAAAATCATCACGATTTACTCTACCTCAAGTGGTTTTTTTCTTTTGTTGAACACTTTTGTTGATTTTGAAAAATGTTGGAAGCTGCTTACCATTAACGTTTATAATAGAACATGACATTACTATGGAAGTCAGTGGAATTCCACCATTCTTTAAAATATCTTCTTTTGTGTTTAACAAAAAAATCTTTTTTTTTTTGTTTATGAAATGTGTATTGCTTACAGTAAAATATTGTCAGTAATTATGCTAAAAAGTTGTCCCTTAAAGTTCCTGACTAATGTGTATCATTCCCATAGACGATCATTCCAAAACATATTGATTTACTCTCTATCTTTTAAATCAAACACACAGTACCTGCAGGTGTGAATCTACTGTACAGAACTGGTCAAAGTCTCTCTCTAGTGGTCATCAGCTGTAAAAGCACATTCGAAGAAATATTTAGCTGAAGGCGGCATGCAAAATTCGACCCTGAGTTTGAGCATAAAACACTTTTAAGTTATTATAATGTGATGGAGAAAGACGGGGAGATTTTTATGGATATACATACAGTTGAAGTTAGAATTTTTAGCCCGAAAAATGTTTGTATCGAAAAAATATATATCTTAAAGGGGCTAATAATTTTGAATTTGAATTTAAAAACTGCTGTTATTCTTGTCGAAATAAAACAAATAATACCTTTTCCAGAGAATATTAACAGACATACTGTGAAAATTTCCTTGCTCTGTTAAACATTTAAAAAAAAGATTAAAAATAAAAAAAAACATTTAAAGAAATTCAAAGGGGGCTAATAATTCTTACTACAACTGTATATAATAAGAGTTGAGCAATGCCATGCAAATGTCAACCGTGCCATGACAAAATTAAGTTTTCATCAAAATACAGAAACCGTTTCTAATTTTGCTTTTATTTATTTATTTATTTTTTGTAAGCCCTAAGTATTTTACAGTGCTTTAAAATAGGCTACTCAGAAATGTCTCTGTCAATGTTTTCAAACTATTATATTTGATTTAGGCTACTGAAGTCACAAAAGCAGCAATTTTACATAACAACAGAGAGATGTCACAAAGAAGACTTTTTTCCTCATAAATCCAAAAATGTCAAATAAAATAAAGTCGATAATTTTTGTTTTATAGGGAGCCATCTTTTATCCTTTAGATGTATCATTATTTCCTTTGGGTTGTGCAATTCAATTTACAGAATTTCTATGTTGTGTACTGCAAACTCGCACTTTTTTTGGCCACATCCATAACGCAAGTTTATTTTCCTTATTTGAAATAGAAAAAAAAAAACGGCAACGCAGTGGCGCAGTAGTGTTGTCGCCTCACAGCAAGAAGGTCTGGGTCGCTGGTTCGAGCCTCTGCGTTTTTGTGTGGAGTTTGCATGTTCTATCTGCGTTCGCGTGGGTTTCCTCCGGGTGCTCCAGTTTACCCCACAGTCCAAAGACATTCAGGTGGAATTGGGTAGGCTAAATTGTCCATAGTGTATGTGTATATATGTGTGTGTGTGTGTGTCTGTGTGTGTGTGTGTGTGTGTGTGTGTGTGTGTGTGTGTGTGTGTGTGTGTGTGTGTGTGTATGGATGGATGTTTCCCAGAGATGTGTTGCGGCTGGAAGGATTTGCTGCGTAAAAACGTGCTGGATATGTTGGCGGCTCATTCTGCTGTGGGGACCCCGGATTAATAAACGGACTAAGCTGACAAGAAAATAAATGAATGAATGAATGAAACAGAACAAACATGTTTACAGATTGATATTTGATATTGATATCTGGTCCCATAACTCTGTTGTTTTGGAAAATATAGATGTTGCTATAATGTTAACATCTACTTTCTATTTGAATTTTTTACTGCAAATGTCACGTTAATATTCCGGGCCTACAACTGCAGTTCCAATTAAACACCCAATTCAGGTCTTATTCATATTTCTGCGTTGGGAATGTTGAAGCTAAATTTTACAGGACAAGTGGCACTCCAGGGCCGAGGGATGGGCAATGTCAAATTATAATTAACGTGTTTTTAATAACACTTAAACCCGCTTTTATTCCTTTAATATGGCTTTGTACATCTAACCATATTTGCTTTTAACTATGCTCAATTATGTGGCGTTTGCGGTGTCTTGTTACCATAGTTACAGTATGATGTTTAGAACGTCATTTAGAACGCGTTCCAAGTGGAATACTTTTAGCTGTGCAGCTCAAAGAAATCTTTTGTTGGTTTGTAATAGTTGGTCGATATTTCACAGTTTCAACAAACAGCGAATATTTTATCAAAAATGTCTTGCTTTCTGATCAGAAGAAAGAAAACTCTGAAGGAAACACCAGAGGGTGAGTAAATAATGAGTAGGGAGCGGAAATGAAAGTACTATTTATCCTAAAAACTTATTTTTATCAGGTAATGTTTTAGACAGAAGTATATTTTTGCTGTGGTTACTAACTCGTAAGTGTGGTCTGTCAATATCAGGTAGTATTTTAAGCAAATGTAGAACAACTTTAAAGTTCACTTTAAACATAACTTACACATTAATAAATCTAAAAAAATATATAAAATAAATATGTAGATGGACCAAATGTGAATGTTTTTGGCTTTTCCTCTGTTTTAGGCAAAGTTTTAATTACTTTTGAAAAACAAAATATTTCTGTATGACTACAAGGGCTAATGCTTTACATGTTAACACATCAGCATAAAATTTAGTTTTTCATGAAAAATTAAATGTTAAACTATGTTTTGTATTGGATTATTATGCAACTTATAAGCTCTGAACCAACAATAAATAGGGTTTAATGTTTTATAATGTGCGTGTAGCATAGTATGTCTTACATTTATAAAGTATATGAAGAATTACTGATAAAACAAGAAATAAATATATTTAACTCTTGAGCCGGTGTTAAATTGTTAACACTTTTGAAAATGTGTGAAGTGTGGATTACATACAGTACACAGATAAAGTGTTAAAATGAACTCTCCAAGTTGAATTTGCTGTGTAATTTTAACCCTTTCAGTAGGGCCAAAAAAGCCCCTGTTTATTTTTAATGGAGAGAAGATTTTTTTTCAACACATTTCTAAACATAATAGTTTTAAATATTCATTTTTAATAACTGATTTATTTTATCTTTGCCATGATGATGGTAAATAATATTTGACTAGATATTTTTCAATTTGTTTTTGTAAACCAACAATGCTGTATGTGTAAACCAATATTTACAACAGTCATTCTTTAAATGAATTTAACAGCCATGATTTAAAATAGTCAAAACATGGTCAACCATTTGACAGACAGATAAATGGATATGAAATGTACACTCTGAAACCCAACAGTTAACTTTATTATATGAAATGAGTGTAGTTAACTCAAAATTGACTGAAAGTTAATTCCACTCATTTGAAAAGAGTTTTGAACTCAGTGTTGAAGGTAATGAGTTCATTAAATACTTCATTACTTCAACTTAAATAGAGTAAGTTCATGGTACTCAGATTAGGTTTTTTTTTACTCAAACGGTTTGTAGCAATCGGTTTCCTCAAACTGTTTACGTTGCCTTTACTTCTTAGGTTTTAAAAATAAGTTGGTTTGAGTTTATTTATCAGGTTTTACTGTGCTCAAATTGCTTCTTTACCCAGATGGATCAAGTTCACAATACCCATTAGGATTAGTCTTTGAACTTAAATGGTTTGTTGCTATTGTATTCCTCAAATGCTTTGAGTTACTTTAACTTATTAGGTTTTACAGTGTACTTATTTAGAATATTGTCTATTTTTTATCGACAATGCACATTCATTTGATTAAACGTCTAAATTTAAACACTCTAATTACTAATGTGGAAGGGAAAATAAGGTATTAGCAGTGGGGCATAAATAACAGTGTTACTTTCGTCCCTACAGCAACTCTTGCCATTTAAACCTGACTAACTTTTAAGCTGAAAAACTCAATACAATACAAACTTGATGAGTTATTGCACTAAATACTCTGTAGATTGATCATTACTGTGACACACGAAACGAAAAACACAACTTCTATTAAGGAAAAAAGTACCAATAATTTACTTTCTGTATTCTTCAGTTGATTTTGAGATGGAGGAGAAAAAGAAAGAGGAAAAAAAGAAGGAAAAGGAGGAGAAAAAGAGGAAGAAAAAGGAGGAGTGGAAGAAGAAAAGGAGCTGGATCTCTTCCTTTTTCAAATCGATGTTCTGCTTCACTCTGGGTGATTCAACAGATACTTGTTATGATGCTAAATAATAGACTTTAATGCTTTAAATAAATTGTATTTTTATTACCTGGTCTTACCTGGAGTTTACATCTCCTTGACAGATGTGGAGGAGGAGGAGAGAAAAAAGAACGAGAACATGATGGTGGTGAAGGAGGAGATGGAGGAGGAGGAGAGAAATTCTGAGCCAAAATCACCCTCCATTTCAGCAGACCAAGCCACTGATGGTAAATCATCATATTTATGTCTATATATTTGTCTGTAATGTTATTAATAAATTGTATTATTTTGCCCTCACCAGGTGTTTAATACCCTCTAAATGTGTGAACTGCAATCATTTCTCTTTTAACAGATGATCAAGAGGAGACCATGAAGGAGGAAGAGGAGAAAGTTGAGGAGGTGGAGGTGAAAATGGTGGAGAAAAAGAAAAGGAAGACTAGACGAGGGAGGAGAGGAAGGAACCGAAAGAAAGAGGAGGAAATTATAAAGGAGGAGGAGGAGAAGAAAACTGAGGAAGAGGTGGAAACGAAGGAGAAAATTGTTGAAGAGATGGAGAAAATAAAAAAGGAGGAGGAGGAAGTGGATAAAACTGAGATGGTGAAGAAGAAGATGGAGGAGGTGAACACCAAGAAGGAGGAGGAGGACAATATAATTGAGGAAGAGGAGGAGATGAGTGAGAAGGAGAAAAAGAGAATTCAGGAAGAGAAGTGGAAGAACAAGAGATGGAAGAGTGAGAGATATGGAAAGAAAGAGAAGACAAAGGAAGAGAAAAGGGTTGAGAAAGAGAAGTTAAAGAAGGAAAAGAAGAAGAAAAGGGTTGAGAAAGAGAAGTCAAAGAAGAAGAGATTGAGGGGGAAGAAAAGTAAAATAACGAAATGGGACATGATGTATGAGGAGGAGAAGATCAAGAAGGATGTAGAGAAATTGAAGAAGGAGGAAGAGGACGATGTGGGGTGTGGTGTGATGAAGGCAGCATTACAGTTTCAGTGTGGTGGTGGTGATCGTGTATATGTCATATAATAAACAGTTGATTGTTGTTGTATTATAAATAAACAATGTAAAACTCAAACACTGTCCTCATCATTTTTTTCACCTATTTTATTTTCATGCTTTCTCTCCTTTTTATCCTGAGGTAATATTGTATATGTGTTTGTTAAGTATATACTTACTTTGAGAAAGCAGTTGACAGTTAATCCCCTCATATGTTTTTAATTGTGGTTTAATTAATACATTTTAGTGATGTTTTATGCTGTGATTTGCACTCAATTAGCTTATTTGCTGGAATCAAAATGTGAAAAGTGTTGCTTACAAAAAGTTTATATTTTTATAAATAATGGTATGATCAGCAGCTCCCTTCAGAGATGTAAAAATCTTGTATCTTCTATTCTGCTGTAGGAGGTTATGCTGCTGTAGTCAATATTTGCTTACCATAAAATATCAAAATATGTTTTAGTGGCGTGAATTTGTGCCACAAAAAAAAAAAAAAAAAAAACGTATTTGTCCTACCTTGTTAGATTGTCCTACCTCCCATTTAAAAGGTAGAAAGCACATTTTGATGAGGCTACCAGATTTTGCTACCAGTGTAAATTTTAATGTGGAGTAGTGTGATATGAAGCTGTAATATTGCCCTAACCTACCTAATCCCTAACCCCATCCTCAGAACCATTCAAATACACTGTTGGTAGCATAATCTGATAGGTAGGATAAAAGAATAAAATGTTATTATACCTGGTGGCGAATATATGTATGTATATGTATCTTCAAAAAAATTTCATGGATATTTCTGAATAAAAAATGGCCAAAATATATATGGTAAAATTTATTTTAAAAAATAATAGCGTTAGTAAATTTCGACAATTTTGACTTTTTAAAATATATATTTACCCTCCATGTATTTCAGTCCAAGAAGATACATTCACATTTTGTTCCATACACGTCAACCAAATCAACATTATTATCAACAATAATAATGTTTCCTTCAGAGTTATTATCAACAATATACATATATTTTTAAAGATTTCACTAATGTATTTTATTTAACAACACAGATATAACATATATTTAAAATAGTTATATTTTGGCGAGGAAAACATATATACTTTATGGGGCGGCAGTAAGTGACTTTCTTGAAAATGTTTATCAAAGATAAAAACAATAATTTAGGTAGACAACAATTTAAGCCAAAAAACGTTTATTTTATTTCATTCATTTTTTGATTTTTAAACTTTATCTAAACAACAGCAAATACACAATTTAAACATGACATCCAAATAATACAAATGTAACTAATAACACAACATAAAACTAAAATATGAATTACATAATCAAAATAAATAAAAATACAACTTTGAAAAATAATACTTTTAAAATGATATGATTTAACTTACCCGATTGACAGCAAGTTTACTTTTCAATTAACTTCAGCTCTTATGCAACCTTAATTGTATCTTGACATTTCTTGCTATTACTGGAGCGAGCCTATATATAAAATAAAATCTATAATAGTAACCTTTTAACATAGTTTAGTGTTATTCAGTCTACATTTATGAATATGAAATTTACAAAATACAATTAAAAGATTCATCATAAATCCCACAGATAAATTGTTTGAGTCAAAATAAAATATTACATCTTGGGGGGTCAAATTACATCTAATTTTTTATTTTATTTTTTTTTTTACATGCAGTAAATCTTCCCAAAACTTCTTTGAAAGTTGACATTCATAAAAAGATTAACCAAATACTCTGGATGATCTAAACAGAATGAGCAATCTCCATCAGTCTGCATAAATTTAAATAATGTATATAAATGTTGTGAAGTATTTTTAAACGTAGTTCCCTATACGCAAAAATGAAAAGACGCAACCAAGCTTTTTATCCACACAATATCTTCAAAACAAATATTCCAAAAAATTCCTAGGCTCCGTTTTTAAAAAATAATAATCTAATAACTTTGCTTGTATTTTTTTACTACAAAAGTCTACCCCATTTGAATATAGTCCAGGATCAGTTCTATAAGTACTATATGGGGTCTTGTTTTATTTATGTGTTGTCCAATCGTGACGTCGGCGATGTTTGTTGTAACATGGAAGAATAGCTAAAGCTGGAATATCTCAATTGAAGAGAAAAAGTTGAACAGATCTACGAAAATCAGTTATGGGAATGATTTCATATCTGATAATAGCCCATTCTAAAAACACAAAATAAAAAAGGCTAATTTAATCTCCTAAAACTTGTCTTTTAGCCCTTTATGCTCACAATTTTGAATTGAAACACTCTCCAAATTTGACTTCTTCCCACAGAATTCAGTCGACATCTCAAAATTCTGAGTTTTTGTTTTATATTTTCCATAGTTGTGTGATATAAACTCCTATTTGCAAGATTATAAATCTAAATGGTGAGATAGTCACAGTCTGAGAGTTAAGCAAACTCGACATTGCGAGTTCAGAGGAGAAATTTCACTCTGTGAGGTGAATTTTTTTTTATTGAAAATCATTTCAGAGGAAAGAATCGTACGTATACAGAGGTAAAACACAGTCATATATTAACACTACTTTAGTCTGAAAAGAGTCACCATAATACTCTGACTTAAGTTTGTTTACGTCGATGAGCAATAAGAATAGTTATTAAGTATGTTCACAAATCTTAAGGCAAAAAACATGCTATGTGTAGGTTTGAGATCCAGAATAAGTGTATGAATGGAATTTATGATTATCCAGTAAATTATCGAGAGTGTAAAACATAAAGCAAGATAAACCCAGTTAACATGTGGTTTATTATCTGTTTTTAGATCTCATGCATGTGTAGGCCTAAACAGGGTTGCCATGTTTGTACAAAGTGTTACGCAAGAGCGTATTGGGTTGTTTCTGTGCTGCTGTGTGGGTGTGTCTCTCTTTTTCCCTCTCTCGTCCTGTCCCGTTCCTGTTTCCAGGTTACCCCGCCCTAATTGGACGTGCTGCGTGCGTGCGCTGTGGTTGGTGCTGGGAGAAGTCAGCATCTTTTGAAAAGGAACCGACGGAGTCAGATCGCTGGGGGGAGAGACGGAGAGTTTTCTAAGAGTGTGGCGTTCGTGTGAAACATATCATAGTGCTACTGGTTGTTTATGAATTGTGAACATTAAGGTGTTCTCTCCCTTTTTCCTCTCCCCTCCAATTTTTGTGATTGTCAAATACCGTTAGATAAACCTGTGAGCTGAGCGCCGTAGGGGCTGAGTGCCATTTACTTTGACACTGATTTTCTCCTGTTTTTTCGTTTAGTTAAGGAGTAAGGGTAGTGTTTGTAATTTATTTTCTTCATTTATTTTTGATTCAGTAGGTAAGTTATCTTCGGAGTGGAGTTAGTAAATGTTTTGTTTGTTATTTTGGCCTTGCTCAGCCCTGAAGCTTTTTGTTTGCGCTCATTTATTTTGTTTATTGTAAATACAAACCTTTTCCACCTTCTCACAATAAAAGAACCTTAAAGGTCATTTAAAAATCAAACCTGCTACTGTTTATTTATTTTCTCTATAATTTTTATGTTCGACTTCAGCCCTAGACATTTTTGAGGTCGTAACAAAAGAAATCAGCACAAGGATCAATCAAAATTGCCTAATAATGTTAGCCAGGTGGATGCTGCACACTGGTGGTGGTGTGGAGAGACCCCGCTCATGATTGTGAAGCGCTTTGGTTGTATGGCCATACACAATAAATGCACTTTATAAATACACATTACATTACATTACAATGACAAAACTCAAAATATGCCACCCCATATGTTAAATACATTTTTTATGTAAATGTAAACACACCATTTTCTTTACGAAAATCTCCATAGCTTAATTTTGAAGATTCTGTCTGAATACCTTAACGCACAGGTGTCAATCGCAGTTCCTGGAGGGCCAGGCTCTGCAAAGATTAGCTTTAACCCTAATTAATCACACCTGATCAACTAATTGAGTCCTTTAGCCCTGTTGAACCTGAAGCAGGGATAAAAGTAAACTCTGCAGGACTGCGGGCCTCCAGGAAAACATTACAATCCTGTCAAATCATTCCAGGTGTCTAGTAGTTCAGCTGTGATCATATGGAGCTCCAAGAACACAATTACAAGTTTTGAGGAGTTTGTGAGGCTGCATATGACAGACGAAGAAGCCCATAGTACCCTTCAAAACCATACCATTCAAATTGCAGTAAGAAGCTAGTTTTGAACACTGGCTGCTGACTTGTTCAAAAATTTATTTAGGATAATTTCTAAGTAAAAAAAATTTAAAGTGCTAAAGTTATTGTCGTTTAACTAAAAATAAACAGTTTTATTTTTCATCAGTGTGAATGCAAATATATTTATATACAGTGCTCAGCATATACAAGTACACTTCTCACAAATCCATTAATTCATTCATTTTCTTGTCGGCTTAGTCCCTTTATTAATTCAGGGTCACCACAGCGGAATGAACCGCCAACTTATCCAGCAAGTTTTTACGCAGTGGATAATCCACATACACATTAACACACAACGGACAATTTAGCCTACCCAATTCACCTGTACCACATGCCTTTGGACTGTGGGGGAAACCGGAGCACCCGGAGGAAACCCACGCAAAGGCAGGGAGAGCATGCAAACTCCACACAGAAATGCCAGCTGAGCCGAGGTTCAAACCAGTGACCTTCTTGCTGTGAGGCAACAGCACTACCTACTGCGCCACTGCCTCGCCCCCTCACAAATCTATCTTTAAAATTCACACTTTAATATGGAGTTATACAATATTATGTTTATGCATATACGTTAGATTAGACAGTATTGAGGCTTAATCTGGAGCTTATCTAACATAATAACCTTCAATAACGATCCAAAAACTAGTACACCCACAATTATATGTTATAGAAAAATATTAAATACAGAATTTAAAATAGAGGAAAAATCAAGAGAAGCAAAAAAATCTAGTTGAAATGTTGTAGGTTGAAATTGTTTTTGTAATATTTTGCTTGAATGTAATTGTATTATCTTTCAATTTCTACACATGTTTGGTGACTAAAATACTATTTTAGTAAATACATCAGTTTAATAAATCTGTTTTGTTTAAATGCACCAAAA